CGGCTGTAGGAGAAAAAGGATGTGCTTTACATTACTGTTTGTGATAAAACTTGGATGAATTCCAAAGAACTTGCTTAAAAGTTTAATGTAGATTTTGTTTCTTCTGTCCTTTTGCAGAGGTTTCCAAAAGAGCAATGGCAAAAAAGCAATTGGCTTCCAAAGTTCCACATTTCTATTACGTAGCTGAGATAACTTGTGATGCTTTTGGTGGAGCTTAAAACATCTTTTCGGAATGATAATATTTCTCCAGAGGTCGAGCACACTTTCCTTCCCTTATTAATTAAATCGCTCTCAATGGCATGATAAAGTATCCCTTGATGAATAGTTGGTGGAAGTCGTACTCAAAGGTTTGTATCATAGACACTAGTGTGTAAATTAGTGCTATATTTTTTCTGCTTTTCCCTGAATTTGAAGCTTGGTTGTGTTTAAATTCATATAGGATAAGTGCAATACATTGTTGTTTGTGAAATATATGCATTCAAGGACAATTATCTGAAGTATTAACTTTTAGATTTAAGATTATATATATAGCAGTGGATTAATCCTAGTTTTATTGTGTGCATTTCTTCTTTGTAAATGAAAGTTTTTGAGTACCAAAATTTAACAAAGAAAAGTCAAAGTTGTTAAATTTATATTAATGCATGAACCTTTCACTTGAATATAATTTACAACTTAATCTATTCTCCATTGATGATTAGTGAGATGTCGTTATATTTAGATTATTGCGTGAATCTTGCTTGTTTGTTTTCTGGCAACTGATAAGTTGATAATTTAATTTCAGGCAGCGGCATTCCAGATTTGATACAATGGCTTTTTTAGCTATAGGTTCGCACAATATAGGAATTGCTATGGCTACCCCAAATGGTGTAGTTGTATCAAACATAAAAAATGTTCAATCTCTTTCCATCTTAGAGGTTGGTTTACGCTTTGATGGTTGTTTATGTACATAAGCAACTCTAAGGTCCTGTTTGGTTATTATAAAAAAAATGGAATGAAATTGATTGAAAAAATTAATGTAAAAATAGACTAAATCACCCTTCCTTTTCATGGTAAACATAATAAAACTCATTAATATATATTATAAATGTGAGAATTATCACACCTTTTAAAAATATCATGAATCATGATTCCAAACTCTATAAATTAAATTACCCCTCTCTTTTATGAATGTGGTTCACTATTCATTTTGATTATCTCATTTTTATCTTTATTTTTTCAATCTATCTCATTCCATTCCTTTCTAGTAACCAACTTAAAATGCTTTGTACTTGTGTCATGATCAAAGTGAAAGTCTGACGTCTTTTGTTTTCCTTGTTAATTCATGAGCCAAGCGCTTGAACAGCGTATATCTCAATTCCATTTGTGATTTTTCTGTCTTTAATGTGATTTTTTTGTTGCTAAAGGGGGTTCATATTTGAGAAGGGGTAAGGTGTTTTTTTTTTTTTTTAAGAGTCTACATGGGGGGGGGGGAAGAAATTTATTTAAAAGGTATTCAACATAACATGTCTTTTGTCTGGCTTCTGCAGCTGTTCTTAAGTAGCAGTACTTGCGCATTGCAATTCTTGATTTTGTTAACATGTTAAGATTTAGTGAAAATGTATATTTCTTACTTCATTTCTTAGTACAAGTTTATAAAAACTGCTATACATGGCTGCATTAGGTTTACCATTTACACCTGCTGTTAAAAAACCAGGATTCCAGTTGTGTGCAGTTGTAGCTGCACTCCCGTATGATTGCCATTCTTTTGCTTGTAATTACATTTGCGTGCATCGTCTGTTAGGACAAGAGTCTCTGTTTGCTTACAGAACCATTTGAGTAATGATGATCTTTGCATTCCAATAAATCACATTGTTCCGCATCTTGTTAGTTGTATTAAATCTGTGTATTTAGATAACCAAAGAACTATCAAGACTGTAACAACTGGCATCGGATAACAAGCTTAATCCCGAGAATATATGTGGGTGGACAATTGCTTTAAGCAACATCGGAGCAATTGGTGGGAAGTTTGGCTCCCTACATTAAGCAACATTATTGCAATCGGTTGAATTCAGAAAGTTCCACAATTTTCAGGTGATGGGAGTGTGTATCCTGCATCACTCATGGCTGTAAGCCTTCCTTTGATTTGCTCATATATAATATGACCAGATAAATTTTTAACCCTTTGTTCAGGTGGAAAGAAAATTAGAGAGTAAAGAGTATTAGGATGGAAAACTCCCAAAAATAGTGATTTTCTTTTTACTACTTTTGGAAGTTTTTCTTCCTAATATTCTCTCCTTCCCATTTGCTTCACATTTTCTCCCTATCCAAACCAAACCTTTGAAGCAAAAAAGTGTGAGTTCTATAAGAATTCCACATGAAACAAAAGCATGTATTGCTTAGGCAAAGCAAACCTATGCTGTACACTACTCTAGGATTCATCAAACCCAAAGCATATACTTTTGATCCTTATACTTTCCTAGGGTTTTGATATAGATCTTTACTCTGTTTTTTTCAATGTTCTAAATCCTTACACTTTTTTCCGTCTGCAACGTTGGCCCCTACATTTTCAAATGGATATTAACATGGCACAAACAATGTTAATAATGTTAACATGTCAATTAACACCTTTAATTTTGTGCTACGTGTCAAACTGATGCTGACATGCATTGTTTAATAAACAAAAATTTTTAAAAAAGCCTATATCAGATGAAATAAAAAAGACTGACCTTGAATCTTTAAATTTTTTCTTATTAAAAATCCATGTCAACATTTCTATTTCATATGATGTAGACTTATTTTTTAATTTTTGCTTATTAAAAAATCCATATGAGCATCAGTTTGACATGTAAATATAAAATTAATGGTGTTAATTTTAGTTAACAACATTTCTAAAAGTTTGGTATATAATAAGATCACAATGGTATCATACAATCCATATAGCCGATCTCACCTAATAGGATAAGGCTGCTTCTTCTTCTTGTTGTTGTTGTATTCTTAGAATTTTATACTTCATCTGCCTGTGATTCCTAAAACCTGTATTCCAAAATCTATCTGTTTGTTAAATGAAGTAACTTTCATCCCACTATAGTCAATAGTATGATACCATTAAGATAGTTTATGGAACTATTCTGGTTAATAGAGGCTGCATATCATATGATGGCGCATTACTGAAAGTAACTTGTGAATGAAATCCGCAATTTTATAAATGCAGAAGAGTTTTAGGAATTTATATGCCTTTGATTATAAAATCTTGTATGTTGGTGTTTAGTTTTACAATTATCGTATAATATAATATTTAACTTGGTGTTTTCATTATTTACCTTCAGAGATGAGAATTTTTGCGGTAAGGATGCTATTTGAATGTCCACCAAGAAAAAGTATGGAATGAATGCATTGGATGTTCCCATTTTTGTAGATCCTATCAATGACACGCCATTTATTGAAGTCCCTTGCTTTATCATATTGAAGGGTAACAAAGGCGAGTCAGTCATCTTTGACAGAGATTCAGACAATTTTGACTTTTTCATTGGAGATCCTGATCTTTTTACCTTCCCTGCTAGGTTGAAAAATGTGTTTTGGATTGATATTTTGCAGCTTCTTCACGAGTTAATGATAGCACAGAAAAGATCCAATTATGTGAAACAGATGAATTATTATTTTTGGGCAAGTGAAATAGAAGTCAATCAGTAAAAATTTAACATGATTAGATATTAGTTTATTCTTGGGAGTTGATATGGTTTGCATAGAAATGAAATCATCGAATTATTCTGTGAAAATTTTGGACATAAAATGTTCTCTGAAAAGTGGAGGATAAAAGAATGCTTCTCTACATTTTATGATCTTCAATTCTTAATATCTGCTTGAAGTAGTGATAACTACATTCTAAATGAGCTAATGTTTTCACTTTGGCAATTTTCTTTGTAACAAGGAATAAATTTCTGTTGTTGTAATTTTAAGATCAAGAGTTTGCATCTAACAATTTCTCTGGTCGTCTAAATTTCAAAATCTAATGATTTATCTGCTTAACTTGCGTTCTGCTGATGATGGTTCGTATTTTAGGTGGAGATGCTCAATTTCTAGTGGTTCTCTCTTTGGAAGTAAATGATGGATTTTTAGTAACAACTCATCCTTCTTATTTGATCAACACAACTGAACTGAAGATTGGAAATAGTAACCAGTGGCAGCCTCTTCTGACATATGTTACTATCTCAGCATTTCATGGTCAGAGCCAATGGAATTAGATTTCAGGGAACAGTCAACGACTGCAACACAATTATGCAGCAACTTTTCTATCATGTATGTAATCTTCATGTCCTTGAAGTTTAGTATTTGGCCTTAATCATGAGCATGACACTGTTCTTTAAACAATAGTCCTGCTGCCTACGCATGATTACTTTCTTATGCACTGAGATCATATATATATATATGTATATGTGTATGTGTATGTGTAGCCATATCCATATATATATATATATATATTTATCCAACATTCACTCAACCATTGTCGGTCTTTAATCAATATCTAACTTCTTTATATATATAATTGCCGTATCAGTTCAACAGTACATGCTTAAAGTATACTCAACAGTGTTTTCAGTAAGCTCAAGGAGAAGCATGTATTAAAAAGCTTTCTCTAATTATGACCGTGTCTGGGAATGAAAGATCAAGTTGAAGCAATGTTGAGATCGTGGATCTTGGTACAATAGACCAAGTAAATTCATGTCTATTTTTTTAAAACATTGGTCACAGTAAATTCTCTGTTTTTTTCTTTAAGGGAGGCGAGCATGGAGCTGTTTTGACATTGAAATTAAATGATATGGGAAGCTATGGATGTTACCCTCATTGTTCTGAAGGCATGTCAATGCTTTTACATGCTGAGGCTAAGGTAAACTTGATGAGAAGACAACCAATGAGTTCATTGCTTGCTCAAGGTAAGTAACAGAATTTTATTTTGTATTTTTTTTATTTTAGACATTTGATAAGATTAAGCAACAGATTTTATATGTTCAATTAGATACAGAGAAAGGCAAGGAAATGGAAGTTCCTTTATATATATATATATATATATATTTGACCATTTACAAACTCATCATAAATGTGGTTACAGTCTTAGGATCAGCCTTCATCATCGAGTTTTTGATAATCTTTTCTCTCAGTGTCGCTTATGTATTGCACCTGCAGATGTGCGATTCTTCTGGTAAATGAAAGAAGAAACAAAGGAGAAATGCCTCCGGAGACATCTGCTGTGCAAGGATCACGGAAGCAAACTGTAAGTCTGCAAATCAGTTATACATCACCATTATCTATTGCTCAAGGAAGATGTTGAAGATATGATCCAAAACCTGTTTCAGCAAATATCGAAAACAACCTCCACAATCTAGCAGATATGGGTAGCAAAAAATCTGGAATAAAATATTTATTTTTCTATTATTCTGTTTGCTTGTTCCTTAAGATTAGGAAAATTTTTTGGCTCATTTATCTATTTATTTCAGTGAATTCCAGTTGTATTTCAGAAAGCTTAACGGTAATAAAATTTCAGAAACTACTTGCCCCGACATTCTATCTCTCTATCGTCTTGTTCTCTGTTATTTCTCTGTTAAAAAGCCAGCAGATTGGTATCAGAGCTGTTACACTTCGTCTTGGGCGTACTCAAATGGCAATCAACAACGGCAGTGCAGTAAATGCCTCTCAACCTTCAATACCCATTTTCAAAGGCAAAAACTATGAATTTTGGAGCATCAAGATGAAAACTCTGTTTAAGTCTCAAGGGCTTTGGGACTTAGTGGAGAATGGGTACAGTGAGAATGATGATGAGGCTAAACTGAAAGAAAACAAGAAGAAAGAATCAAAGGCACTGTTCTTCATCCAACAAGCAGTGGATGATTCAATCTTCTCAAAAATTGCAGCAGCTTCAACAGCAAAGGAGGCTTGGGCAATCCTTCGAACATCCTTCCATGGCTCATTAACTGCTCATCAATGGTGGTTCAAGTCAAGTTGCAGACTCTACACCATGAGTTCCAAAACCTGCGCATGAACAATGCAGAGTCAGTGCAGGAGTATATGACCAAAATAACAGCAATGGTCAATCAAATAAGATCATTGGGAGAGGAGATTCCAGAGAAGATGGCCGTGACTCAGGTATTAAGAATCTTACCCACTAAGTTTGATCATGTTGTGGCAGCCATTGAGGAGTCTAAGGATCCATCAACTTATACATTTGATGAGTTGATGGGGTCTTTGAAATCTCATGAAACAAGAATCAACAGAAAAGAGGAAAAGAATGAAGAAAAGGCATTTCAAGCAAAAGGAGAAGCCCCAAAAGAATATGAAAAACATGCAGGCAAAGGAAGAGGTAGAGGAGGTTTTAGGGGAAAGAATTCCAGCCATGGCAGAGGTGGTGGCAGAAATAGCAATAACAGCAAAAGCAAAATTCAGCGTCACAATTGCAAGAAATTTGGGCATGTAAAAGCTGATTGCTGGTTCAAAGACAGAAAGGCAAACTTTGCAGAAGAAACTAGTGGTGAAAGAAAATTGTTTATGGCATATTCAGATCCAGAGGTAGAAAAAGGCGAAATCTGGTTCCTGGACAGTGAGTGTTTGAATCACTTGACAGGAAAGAAGAGCATTTTCTGTGACCTTGATGAAAGAAGACAGTAAGGCTTGGAGATGATAAAGAGAAGAAAGTTGAAGGAAAAGGAACAATCCCCATCAACACCGCTGCAGGTAAATCACGGTTCTTAGATAATGTTCAGCTTATCTCTAAGTTGGCACACAATCTGCTAAGAGTAGGGCAACTAATGGAGAGTGGATACTCTGTCCTATTTAATGATAGAGAGTGTGTCATTAGACACAAGTTGTCAACTCAAGTGGTTGCAAGAATACCAATGACAAAAAACAAGATGTTCCCAATTGATATCAAAATTATGCATGAGTTTGCTCTTGTGGCTGGAGAGAAAGATGTGCCCAAGCTATGGCATTTGCGTTATGGGCACTTACATATCAATGGGTTACAGCTATTGGAGACAAAAGGTATGGTTTACGGCTTACCAAAAATTTCTGAGCTAGATATATGTGAAGGTTGTGTATATAAAAAACAAAGTAAAAAATCTTTTCCGATTGGAAAAGCGGGGAGAGCAAAAGAATGTCTTGAGCTTGTTCATTCTGATTTGTGTGGCCCTATGAACACAAAATCATTGGGTGGCAATTACTACTTTCTTCTGTTTACTGATGACTTTAGTAGGATGAGTTGGGTTATTTTCAAAAATCCAAAGCAGAAACTTTTGAGAATTTCAGAAGATTCAAAGCCATAGTTGAAAAGCAAAGTGGATCTAGCAAGTGCCACGTACAGACAGAGGTGGTGAATTTCTTTCAAAATAATTCAATCACTTTTGTGATGAGAATGGGATACAACATGAATTGACAGCACCATACACTACAGAACAAAATGGTGTGGCATAATGCAAGAACAGAACGGTGGTGGAAATGGCAAGAAGTTTGCTGAAAGGAAAAGGAGTACCAGATTTGTATTGAGCAGAGGCTGTAGCAACAGCGGTATATTTGCTGAATCTCTCCCCAACAAAGGCCGTACAATACTGCACACCATATGAAGCATGGAAAGGGAGGAAACCTACTGTAAGCCACTAAAGGGTCTTTAGTTGCATTGCTTATCCCTTAGTAAATTCTCGAAATCTTCACAAGCTTGATGGAAAGTCACATAAATGTGTTTTTATTGGCTATTGTTCTGATTCTAAGGCATATAAAATGCATGACCCTGATTATGGAAAGATAATTATTAGTAGAAATGTAGTATTTAATGAAGATGCAGGCTGGAATTGGAGTTATAGCAGCACAAACAGCAGAGTGTGTCCACTCCAAATGCCGTTAATTGAAGAATCAAGCTCAGCCTCAGTTAATCCACATACCCCTGTCACTTCAACCCAAAGCAGCCCAACAGCTAAACCATCAAGAAGTAGTGAGTCATCAAAAGGAACACCACCAAGAAGATTCAGATCCTTAAGGGAGATCTATGAAAATGATGAGTTTGCAATGTTAGCTACAGATCCTGCAACTTTTCAAGAGGCAGCAGAAAAAGAGGTCTGGGTACAAGCAATGAAAGAAGAACTTGCTGCCATAGAAAAGAACTTAACATGGGAGCTGACAGATTTGCCGGAAGAGAAGAATGTGATAGGACTCAAGTGGGTCTATAAGACAAAGCTTCATGCAGATGGAAGTGTTCAGAGATACAAAGCTCGATTGGTGGCAAAAGGATACTCTCAACAGCAAGGAGTGGATTTTGAAGAAACCTTTTCACCAGTAGCACGATTTGAAACAGTAAGATTACTTCTAGCACTAGCAGCCGAACTCAAATGGAAGGTGTATCAGCTTGATGTCAAGTCTGCATTTCTCAATGGAGATCTTGAAGAAGAGGTCTATGTTGCTCAACCTGAAGGCTTTGAGGATCACGGAAAGGAGGAGAAAGTCTACAGGCTGAAAAAGGCACTCTATGGCCTAAAACAAGCTCCAAGGGCTTGGTACAGCAAGATTGATGCATACTTCCAGCAGAATGGATTTGTGAAAAGTGAGAATGAGCCTACTCTTCATGTGAGGAAGCAAGATACTGACATTATTGTAGTTTGTGTGTATGTAGATGATATAATTTATATGGGCTCAAATTTGACATTGCTAGAAGAATTTAAAACCAACATGATGAGTAAGTTTGAAATGATAGATTTAGGTCTGTTATATTATTTTTGGGCTTAGAAATTGTGCAAGGCAAAGCCGGAATATTTGTTTGTCAAAAGAAATATGCAACAGAGTTGCTTAAAAGGTTCAACATGTTAAATTGCACAACAAAGGCTACTCCAATGAATTTGAAGTAGAAACTGCAGCAAGAAGACGGAGATGCAAGAGCAAATCAAAAGTTGTATAGAAGTCTAGCTGGTGGTTTAATATACCTAACACAAACAAGGCCGGATATATCTTTTATGGTAGGTGTTGTGTCAAGGCTCATGTGTAATCCATCAATGCAACATTATGGTGCAACATTATGGTGTAGCAAAAAGAATTTTAAGATACATCACTGGAACATTAAGCTACGGAATTTGGTACACTCATTCAAGTCATTTCAAGCTAATTGGGTTCAGTGACAGTGATTGAGCAAGCTCGCTATATGACAGGAAAAGCACTTCTGGAAATGTTTTTTGTAGGTCAGAAGCAATTATGTGGATGTCTAAGAAACAAGCTACTGTAGCATTGTCAACAACAGAGGCAGAATACATATCAGTTACAGCAGCAGCAAGTCAGTGTGTTTGGCTTAGAAAAATGTTGTGTGATTTGCAGCAGAAGCAAGAAGAAGGAACTAAGTTGTTTTGTGATAACAAATCAACTGTTGCAACGACAAAAATTCCAGCATTTCATGGAAGAACCAAGCATATAGATATGAGGTTTCATTTCATTCGAGTGTTATGTGCAAAAGAAGAACTGATCATGAAGTTTTGCAGTACAGAGATTCAAGTTTCAGATATCTTCACTAAAGCACTACCACGTCAGAGGCATGCATACCTTCGAAGCTTACTTGGAGTGTGCGATTTTGGATCAAGGGGGAATGTTGAAGATATGATCCAAAACCTTTTTCAGCAAATATCGGAAACAACCTCCGCAATCTAGCAGATATGGGTAGCAAAAAATCTGGAATAAAATATTTATTTTTCTACTATTCTGTTTGCTTGTTCCTTAAATTTAGGAAAATTTGTTGGCTCATTTATCTATTTATTTCAGTGAATTCCCGTTGTATTTCAGAAAGCTTAGCAGTAATAAAATTTCAGAAACTACTTGCCTCTACACTCTATTTCTCTATCGTCTTTTTTCTCTGTTATTTCACTGTTAAAAAACCAGCAGAAGAAACATGTTGGAAGATTAAATCTCCTGTAATGGCACACCATATCTTCCTATGTACCATGGCATTATTTCATGTTCACGACTCGTTCATTATTATTATTATTTTATGAAATGCAGTCAAGCACTAAAATTTCTGAGATTGCTACTCACTTCACTGGTTGTTGTTCAAGTCATTCCTTGCTTGGTTTTGGCAAGCACTCCTCCAATTTTCGCCAACGGTGAGCAGCTTGATTGAGAATACTATTGAAAATGTCAATGCTGTAATGTTAGAAATGTTTGGTAGTGATAGGAAATCACTTTCACGGCTTCAGCAAGAAGAGATCGCTTAAACTTGCAGGTCTCGCCTTGTGTCTCAGATTGGAGAGTCTAGTATGGCAGCGAAACGTTCATTGCCTTCGACGAGCGAACCCCAACATGCTCTTGTGCCTAGTTTTACTCCGCTCGCCATTGACAAAGATGAGATCTCAATTGTCTGAACAGCAAACCATTTCTTTCGTTGCTACTTGGAAGCTACTGAAACTCCGGATAAGTGCATGTGTAAAACTTATTCCTTTGATATGGCCATCTGATGGGTGCCTTCTAAAATACTCCCCTGTCCTGTATTTACCGGGAAGGGAGAGAGGATTTTTTTTAAAAAAAATTTATTTATATTTGATATCTTTATTTTTTTTATAATTTTTTTTAAATATTGAAGAAAAAAATAATATTATTAAAGTCTATACAAAATTAAAAACTTTTTAAATTTGTAAATAGAACTAATAAATTTTAAGAATTTTTTTTTTAGTTTAAAAAAATATGTTAAAGTGATTTATAAATAGGATAAAAAGAATACTTATTTAAAAAAAAATTTGGAATGAAGTAAAGAGTGATTAATCTTTTTTTAAGGAAAAATTACTTTAAAATAGCTAACCACAAATTTAATTATGGAGAGAAACCTAGGGATTGAAGGACTGAGGTCTTGCAGTGGCATTAAACGGAATAACTAAATGACTCTCATCAAATTCTCTCCCTCTCTCCTCTCTAGCCTGTTTGTGCCATCGTTGTAGCCAGTGGCAGAGCCACGTTTAATTGAGAGGGGAGGGAAATGCACCCCCTCAATTTAGCTAAAATTACAACTGTATGGTGGGAGATTTAATATTTTACACAATCACACCTTATATCTTTATATTTTATACTTTTATCCTTAGCTAATTATTTGAAATCACTCAAGTCCTGATTAAAATCTAAATATATTAATTATAAATTTTCCAATCCCATAACAATTTGGTTTAAGCATGATAAATTTTAACACAAAATATTAAACTCTTATTGTACATGAGACAACCTCCATAAAAAAAATCATTATTTACCTTTTAATTACAAAATCAAATCCAAATTTTTCACAATGATTTTTTTCATTATTTACTTTTTATTTCTTGCTCAAAAATATAATTTTAAAACATGAAATCACAAAATACTAATGTTTTTGTGATTATTTTTTACCTCTATTATTGTAATGTATATAATTATTTTTCAATTATTAAATATTCATTTTTATAATATTAATATTTTTTAATTAAATTGCACTCCTTGAACTATGGATGGTCCTGGTTCCATCACTGGTTGTAGCACTCTACTTTTGTTTTTCAACCAAGTTTTTCACAAGTTAGTAATTAATTAATAAACTCAATTAAAATTATTGAATACTTATTTTGATAGAAAAATATCTGCTTATCATAAAAACATTTCACAAATATACTATCATAAAAGAAAAGGATTTGCCATAGTAGAAAGAGTTAGCTGACAAATTAAAAGAACTACCAAGGTAATTTTGAGTAAACTATGCATATCAAGATAAATCAAGTATTTGAAAAACTTAAACCACGTGTACCTAATGGGTTCCCGTTTAAAAAAAGTGATAAAATATCCGTAAAATATTTTACAAATGAATCAAAGGTGAAGCATAGATCACGGGGCTTGTTTGTCCGACAATAACTTTTGAAGGAGTGAAAGTGGGGAAAGGGCCTAACTAGAGCAGGTGATTTAGGTGGGTTAGACTTATTTGAATTAGCTCAAAGTATCTTATCCTTTCAAAAAAACTTATATAATCAAACTCAGTTTTAATTTTTTTCAGTCAGGTTCGGACTAACACATCAAGCTTGGCCAAAATTACCTACTCTATACATATATAAAGACAGAAATTTCAAATGCCAAGCTTATTCGAATCGGGTTTTATTTAAGTCGGATTTATTTGAATCAAATTTAAAATATCCTACCTTTTAAAAAACTCATATAGCTAAATTTATTCTTAATTTTTTTTGAGCCAATTTAAGTTAGCTCATCAAATTTAGTTTGAATTATCAACTTTAAGTCAACAGGTTATGCACTCGCACTTGACATGACTGCTGGAACCTCCAGGATGTTGCGAAGGTAAGCTTTTTTCCTTGTTCCTTTCTTTGGATTGAAGTCGTAGATAGTGAACCGAGTGGACAGCAACTACCCGTTAAAAACGCGCGCGCGAAAGAGAGATTAATTAGTCCATATCATATAAGCTATTGGTGAATATCAATGTGAAAGAAGAGTAAGACATGTTGTAGAATTTATCGAGCAATAAGTTGTTGCTCAGAGGTGAACTTTACAAATCAGTCTTAATATTTGATGATTTTTACCCTATTATTTATCAATGAACAAATACAGTTTCCTAGTCTATGGTGCTGTGTGACTTTCTTTCTCATTGATGAAACGGTGACGTTGGTGGAGGAAATTGATCCACGAAGCATGTATTTAAGCCAAGAAGATTCCATTTGGACCATGGAGATTTTTGTAGGAGAAATTATATTAGAATTTCACACAAAAAAATTAATTATTATAAATTCAGTAATAATTAAACTAAAGAAATTGACTATAATTGTCCCTCTTTTCTATCCCTTTTTCTTAATGTTAAAATCTTTGCTTTGCTAGATGCAAGTCTGACGTTACTTTAGAGTAAAAAGAATTGAGATATTGAGCACTTGTTTGATTTCTATTTTTATTTTGTGTTTTTAAAAACTGTTTTGTAATACAAGGTTATAATTGTTTGTCAAAACAAAATAAAATGAAATTTTGTTTGGTTATATTAATATAAAAATAGTTTTGAAGTTAAAAAAATAGATTGAAAGTGATGATTATAGGTGGTTAATGATGGTGATTTATGATCAAATTAGTCAATATAATTGTAATTTTCAATAATCAAATGTCATATATTTTTAAAATAAAAAAATAAAATGAAAATAACTTGATGTTGTTTTTATTTTTTATTTTTTAAAAAAAATTGAAAACAGTTTTGCAAATAAGTAAATAGAAAATACATAACCAAAAAATTTTTAAATTTTTTTTGAAAAACAAAAAATAGTTTTTAAAAATAGAAGAGAAACAAGCTGTAAAATTTTGAGTTAAGGGTTATTTGTGTTATTGAATTATAAACAAAAGGTCACAAATGACCTTATATTTAATTATGGAAAAAATTTTATCTCTCAATTTTAAAAAAAGAAATTTCATTACCTTGTTATTTTCTCACCGTTAGTTGATTATTAGTAGGCTCCACATTATATTTTTAATATTTTTTAATTATAAAATATTTGAGTTGAGGGTATCTATTGGCCCTTTAAATAGAAATTGAGAAACAAAAATAACTCTTAACTATTAACAAAAAATATTAAAAAAATAGTAGGCCTTTATGATAACTAACGATTGTTAAATATTTTTAATGTCAAAGTGATTATGGAATGAATTTTTAAAATTGAAGGATAGAATTAATCTATAGTTAAGATTATGATCATTTGTAACTTTTTGTGTACGGTTGAAGGATAAAAATGAACCTTAACTCTAAAATTTTTGGGATATGAACAAGTGAAGAGTAAGAATTATTTATGTTCTTTTGATTTGTGTATGTGCTCTTGTATCTTTATCCTCATGTAAGATTTACTTAAATGTGATGATTTATTATTCCTTTTATCTAATTATTTATGCAGTTTCTTTTCCTTTTGGTAATTTGTTCGTCTGCAGGTCTTCCAAAGGAGTTTGCCCAAAGGGCCGGATACTTTCACACCAATATGTTCTGTTGTAAGAAATAGTATACCTTTAAGAGTTAGTTCACTTTAGAAGTTTGGACAAAGTAGAGAGTTCCAAATCTGACAGTGCAAAGTTCAGCCATTGATGGCTTTTATAATTTTACCCTTCTCTCCTCTCAATGTCCATTCGAACCCATGACATGTGGGAGGTCACAAACCTCAACACCAACATGACACCCGAATGTTGACATAGGTTTTATAATTTAATATACCTAAACCACCTGCGCATGCAATTTAAAAGAAGCACATCACTTGCATGCAAGTAGTTGTAGTTCTGTATGCATTTCTAGGGGAATCAAAGCAAACTAATTCCAGTATTAAAATGCCTATAGACATTTCTATCTCAGTTCGTCTACAAGCTTGTAACTTTAGCCAAATTCTTATAATATATTACTATCTGTCTGATCTGATTCAACTTTTACTGTGTGCAGTTGCCCAAGACTGCGGTACCAGACCCCCATGATATAGAATTATGGTTAAAGATTTGAGCTATTTAATATTTATACTTTATCTGCTCATATCGATGAATTCTGATACTTTTAACGTGAAATGGTATTTAAAGTGATTGCTAGAAATGGTTGCTGCAGGTAGATGATGAAATATGGCAGAAAGGCTCAACCAAGGACATGATTTTTTAAGATACCATTTCTAATTAGCCACATAAGCTCCGTCTTTACGCTCTTTGAAGGAGATGTGATACTTACTGGTACTCCATCTGCCATGTCATTTTTGCGCGAGACATTACACTATTATGAAACAGAACAGTGTCTTGATTAGTTTCATGCCCCTTGAGGCCATTTATCACTGTTATAGGCGAATCTTTTGAAAAATTAGCTTCGTTGATTTTGTTTATGTGATTGTGCAGGCACTCCCCTATGTATTGGTCCAGTAAAGCCAGGTCAAAATGTCACTACAGGCATTATAAGCCTAGTGGACACGCACTTCAATGTTGAGAAAAGAAAAAGGCACTGTGAGACTTATTCGAGTCAAATTCAATTTAAGTTAAATTTAAAGTATTCTATCTTTAAAAAAATTTATATAGTTAAATTTAATCATAACTTTTTTCAAATAAATTCGAATTAGTCTGACGGGCTTGATCCAAATTACTAACTTTACAAACACATGAAGCCGCTAATTCTGGCAATCGAGCTCAATTCGGGTCAAGCTTATTCAAATCCAACTTAAAGTATTATACCTTTAAAAAAAAAAACTCATATAGTCAAACTCAATCCTAGCTTTTTTGAGGATAGTTTACGCTGACTTGTTAAGCTTGGCTCGAATTACCAATTTTAATAATTTTTAATTTTTTTATCATCATAATTCATTACCCCTTAATTGTGGTTTTATTTTAGAAAAAAAGAAAAAGAAGAGAAAAGCATAACTCTTGCATTATTAGGAGTTCATAAGGCAATAAGCCACTTGTCAGTATATGTTCTATTTTCGGATATTGAA